GAAGGAAGGAAGGAAGGAAGGAAGGAAGGAAGGAAGGAATAAATATGGCTTTGGTGTTTCCAGCTACCTGTTTTTCTCTCTCCAGGCTCAAAGGTACATCTCCCAGCTGAAGGCTCAGGTGAACAGCTTGGAGGCTGAGGTGGAAGACCAGAGGATGCAGAAGCAGAAGGCTTTGGTGGACAACGAGCAGCTGAGAGATGAGCTGGAGAAGCTTCAGAGAGCCAAATTTGAAGGGGACAAGAACCGCGGACTCTACTTGGAAGCAGAAAGTAAGTCGGTGGGCGGGGTGGGGGTTGATCTATGTTGTGTGTTTTGCTCTCACGTTAAATCCGGTGTCAACTCGCAAAGCATCACTGGCCTGCTCTCTGCCAGGCCGATCTCTGCAGAACTTGGCCAGGAGTCTCGGAGAGTCACGAACCAATGAAGCGAACTAATGGTCTCCTGCAAACTCCACTCCCCTTTCGCTCCTCTTTTATTACCTCTGGGAGGGGCCATTCACCGTCCACCTGTGGTCTCTGGGAACAGGCTCCAGCTGTTCTTCTGCCTCACTGATGTCCGACTCCGAAGGCAGCTGATAACTGGCAGACGGCCCTGGCCCCCTCTCTGCCTCCGACATAGAGCCCTCATCCGAGCCTTCCCCAGACTCCAGGACTGGCCCATCTTCCTCCCCAACCTCCTCCCTGAATCTGCTCTGTGGCTGTTGTTGGCAGGCCGCAACACATCCAATGAACCGCCTGCATCACTGTGAAACCACCCATCTTCTCCTGGGTCTCTTCTTCTCCTCTTTCCTTCCACCTTTCTCAGCCTTGGAGCTTTCTCCAGAGGCCTGGGTCTTCATATCACGTGTCCAAACTAGGATAATTTGAGCCTGGTCATAAAACGCCTTGAGTGAGGACCCTGGGTGGCAACGGGCTCCTTCGGAGTAATGATTGAATAGGTGGGGCGAAAGTAATAATGGGGCCATATCCTTCTCTTTGGCAGAAAAAGCCAGCACCACCGAAATCCGGTACGCCAAGCTGAAGGAGAAGCACAACGAATTAATCAACACGCACGCGGAGCTTTTGAGAAAGGTAACGGTGCCCGTTTTCCGCCACGTTGGTTTTTAACGACACCTCCGTGGTCATAGTTAAATGCCTCCCTCACCTTCAGTCACGATCAGGTGAGTTTTCTTCCCATATATTACAAACCCAAGGATAAGAGGAAATCCCCCGATTAAAAGAGCCGAGGTGGCGCAGTGGTTAGGGTGCAGTACTGCAGCCACTTCAGCTGACTGCTATCTGCAGTTCGGCTGTTCTAATCTCACCGGCTCAAGGTCGACTCAGTCTTCCATCCTTCCGAGGTGGGTGAAATGAGGACCCCAGACTGTGGGGGGCGATATGCTGACTCTGTAAACCGCTTAGAGGGGGCTGAAAGCCCTATGAAGCGGTATATAAGTCTAACGGCTATTGCTATTGTCTCTTGGCTTGGCCAAATCCTTTGTGCTTCTCCATCCTTCCTTCAACTCTGAATCTTTGCACCCAGAACGCAGACACCGCCAAGCAGCTGACCGTCACTCAGCAGAGCCAGGAAGAGGTCGCCCGGGTCAAGGAACAGCTGGCTTTCCAGATGGAGCAAGTCAAGCGGGAGTCGGAAATGAAGGTCGGTCCTCTTCTTTGGACAAGGGTGCAGTTCCTTCTCTGGTCATGGAACATACCGTATTTTTCGGAGTATAAGACGCACTTTCTTTCTCCCCCCCCTCCTGCCCCTAAAAGAGGGTGAAAATTTGGCTGCGTCTTATACACCGAATGTAGCCAAAAACACGAGGCACGGAGGAGGAGGAGATGGTCTGTGGCAATCCCTGCAGCCCGGAACAGCTGATTGGGGGTATTCCGGCTGATCCACCCGCCAGTCAGCTGTTCATGCTGAATCAGGCTGCAATGGTGTTGAAGCTAACCAGGCCGTTTGCTATTTGCTGCAAGGAAGCGTCAGAGTTTGCAGCAGCAATCCCATCCAGAAAGCACACACACAAGTCACTGATTCAGCAGGATTCAACAACTTTTCTTTATGTACAATATAACAGCTACCAAAAGCAGGTTTTCCAACGTGTTCAGCAGAGAAGTTTCACTTCCAGTTTTAGTTTCAGAGATCAGCACAGCCTGCAGCTTTAGCACAGAACAAGCCACGCCCAGGCTCCGGGCTGTCTCCTTCCTCGTTGTTCACACAGCAAATACCGTTTATTCCCAAACAGCCCTCAACTCTCTCACATACTGACAGGACGCTATGCCACTATGTCTTGTATTCTGAAAAATACGGTAGCTTTTTTTTTTTTTTAAGTTTTTTAATTTTTCCTTTCAAATTCATTCTTATACCTACATTCTTATACAACCAATTTCGTTGTATTTAAGTACAGTGACAATAAAGATTATACTTATACTTACTTATACTTACAATTGCTGTTTGACATTTGTCAATTCATATCGTTTTTCCGTATATTTACATTTTCATACTTTCTTATTTCCTCTCCCCGATTTAATAATGTGTCATCTGAGTTATTTTTTGTGTGTTTTGTTCCTTTCTCTTTCTATTTGTATCTTTTTTCAAGCCAATTATAAAATCGCCCCCATGTCCTTTAAGACATTGATTCCTCTCTGTCCTTTATTCTCAATGTCAACCTATTCACTTCTGCACAATCTAATATCTTCTTTATTATCTCTCCTCCTGATGGGATTTTGTCTGCTTTCCAATTTTGTGCAAATACAATTCTAGCCGCTGCTATTATTTTTGCGATCAGATATGAAACTTCCTTGGTATATTTAAAAATACGGTAGCTTTGACCCCCGGGTTGAGGAGGGCTCCCCTGGAAACCCCATCAGAGGTCCTTGTCTCTTGGGTTTCATGCAGTTGGAAGACCAGATGCTCCAGGTGGAAGCGGTCAAGAGAGAGATGGACTCCAAAGCAGAAGAACTGAATCAGCTCCAGCAATCGCTCAGCCATTCTAAGCAGGTATTTGGCCTAAGGGGGAGATTTGTATGGATGGTCTCTGGAGGGCCTTCCAGCCCTATCTGAATTTCGAGGTGCCTTTTTAAATGTCTTCACTTGTTTATAGTTTTCTAGCTTCGGGGGCTGTCTTCATCATCCTCTTTTAACAACCCCATAATCCCTTGCGAGAGGAGGGTGGAGTTTGAGCAACTGAATGGAGCCAGCAGAGTGTTTGAATGGCCGGATGCCGTTCCCTGTCACCAGTACGGAGTTTTGTTCAGCAGTCCAATTCTCATTGTGTCCAGAAATATCTGCCTCTACCTGGGCTCGAACTCACAGCCTCTGGATTTGTAAGGCGAGAGCTATGTGTGGCCTACAATAGCTGGACTAGAAATGCATAGAAGTGAGCCGAAAGGCGAGTCTGTTGCGGAGACCAAGGGCCCATGTCCGCGAAAGCTCGTCTTTAATCTGTAATTTATGAGGCCCTACTTAGCTTGCCCCCCCCCCCCCCAGGATGAGACAGGCAGAAGGCCTTCTCCATGTAAACAATGTGGAGAGAGGGGGTGAGATGGAGGTGAAATCTCAATTTTTTTTACTACTGGTTCTGTGGGCGGGGCTTGGTGGGTGTGGCTTGGTGGTGGGGGTCATGTGACTGGGTGGGCGGGGCTATGTAGTCATATAACTGGGGGAATCAAAAGACAGAAACTCACTTTTAACCATGTCCTGCTGGAGCAGGCTTGGACTAGATGACCTCAAGGTCCCTTCCAGGATAATCCCTGGATTATCCTCTGAAGCTGCATCTAGTGCCATGTTTGTAGTCCGTCCTTCCTTCCTTCCTTCCTTCCTTCCTTCCTTCCTGCCATGTTTGTAGTCCTTCCTTCCTCCCTCCCTCTCTCTCTTTCTTTTCTTTTCTTTCTCAGCACTCCAGACCCTCTGTTTTTGGCCTAGAAGGCTTCATGGATCAAAAACGGACCACCACCACCACCCCCTTCCCCAGTTTCTGGAGAACCAGTATTAAAAAAATGCTTAAAAAGTTTTTTTTTAAAGTTCAGCTGTACGGCATATGACCGTCGGAATATTTTAAAAACTTTTTTTAGTATTTTTTTTTTTTACACCACCGGTTCGGGCCCGAACCGGCTGCCTTTCACCCCTGGGGTTGTGAGAACTCTTCCAAGCAAGGAAATTAGCGTGTGGAACTTTCTCCCACATGATCTACAGGTTGGTTCGGAGCTCAACAGCCAGCTGGACGCCCTTCAAGCCGAAAAGGAGACCCTGAGGAAATCGGTCAACGAGAAGGAATGCGAGCTCATCTCAACCAAGGGCCTGCTTGAAGAGAAGGAACTGCTGTTGAGCCAGGAAACCGAGAAGAGGGCCAGGGAAGTGGAGGAACTCCAGGAAAAGTTGGTGGAAAAAGTACGGAGGAGAAACTTTGAAACTTTGGGGGAGGCTCCCCTTTCCCACACCACTAGGGAAGGCTGTTGTGGCCCACCAGTGGAGCTGGCAGCAGAGTCGGACAGTGAGGAGGTTGGGAAGGGCCAATCCTGGAGTCTGGGGAAGGCTCTGAGGAGGGCTCTGTGTCGGAGGCAGAGAGGGGGCCAGAGCCGTATGTCAGTTATCAGCAAAGTCAGACATCAGTGAGGCAGAGGAACAGCTGGAGCCTGTTCCCAGTGTGCCCATGCGCAGAGCTGCCAGACGAAGGGAAGAGCTAAAGAACAGGGGTCGGCTGGAGTAAGGCCACAGGTGGATGGTGAATGGCCCCTCCCAGAGGACATAAAAGAGGAGCGAAAGGGGAGTGGAGTTTGCAGGAGACCATTAGTTCGTTTCATTGGTTCGTGACTCTCCGAGGCTCCTTGCCAAGTCCTGCAGATCTCGGCCTGGCAGCTCTCCAAGCCAGAGAAGGTCTGTGTCTGTAAATCCTCCCTTGAAAGACTTTGCTGCAAGTGAGGGAGCAGAACTCACAGCAAATGAATAAAAGGGGTTT